CCAGAGAAGCTGCCCCTCCCTAGGCCTCACTAGTGGTAAGACTAAGTGAGGAGAGGTAAGAAGCATAGCTCATGCCCACTGAAGGCCTTCTCTAAGCCGGGCGCTGTGCTAGATTCTGCAGTCGTGACCCTGCCATCCCTGGGCCAGCCTGACTTTGCGTCCACCCATCTGTCTGCCTCTGTTCCCTGTCCCCAGGACCTGCAGACAGCCAACACCAGAGAAATCCTCTTGTGGAATCAATGACTCTCATCTTCACATCTCTACAAATACAGTATGACCTCTAAGTACCACAACTTCTATAGGCCTAGAAATAGGGAAACGGAGGCTCAGGGAAGGTAGGTGACTTTATGAAGACCACACAGCTCAATCTGTACAGAGCCTATTATGCTCCCTAAGCCTGTCAGTCTGGAGGTGTGTGTGTGTGCGTGCGTGTGCGCGTGCATGCGTGAGAACTGAGGAGGAAGGCAATGAAGGATTTTGATTTCTCTGCCTACAGTACAGAATGTGAGAGGAAAATAACTGGAACCAGCTTGCTCCCCCAGACAGCCACTGGCTCAGACACAAGCCTGCAGCTCTCCAGCCAGGTGCACTGGGGGCTTCAACAGGATTTGTGTTCCTGGAAAACTGGGTTTAAATCACACACACACACACACACACACACACACACACACACACACACATAACCCATCCCTGTAGTCACCAGGGAACCTGCAATGTGATCCAGGAACCCTTCAGAAAATATGGGTTTGCTTCCCTCAAGCATGACATCTGTTTGGTGATAGAAACCAAAGCCAGCTAAGGAGAACTCTGACTCCATGGTGGGTGCCCTTCTCAGTCCCGGCTCAGCCTGCTGCCTTCCTAGTCATGCTGGAGTTAAGCCCAGCCATGGGCCCCAGCTCTGGGGACAGACTGGAATTCTGAGCCAGCAGTTCCAGTGAGGAAATTAATAAAGACAAGCTCTCGCAGCCAGAACCATGGTGAGAGACGAGTTAGGTCATGTCTCTCTGTGTTCAATCGGATATGACTCCCAACCCTGATGTCACCTTTAAGTTATTAAGCATCACCCTTCCAGATGTGTGGAAATGGTTGACAAACCTCTTATCAGGCATTGCCCCGGAGGCTTGTTGATGGCAGGGGTCAGGCCCTGGAAGCTGACTCTTTGTCAAAGGGGAAAGTCTTGTCCTAGCTTCAGACAGTGATGGGAAGGTGAGCGAGTGATTGGCAGAGATTCTTGGTCCCATGATACAGCAGGAAAGAGTTATCCTGGGCTGTAGAATCAGGGCAATGTTCCTTCCTAAGGGCACAGTTTGCCAGATTTATGATCCCTGAAGGCCTGGACTGTGTCTCGTTGTCTAACTGATCTTCAGATCATAGCTTCCAGTTAGTGGTCTATTTGTCTTGGAGCCAAGAAACCAAGCAATACCACTAATTTAATAGTTCCTTCATCCATTCAGCCACATAGCCACTTATCCACACATACACATATACATACACCCTTCTGTTTATTCATCCATTGATTTATCCATCCATCCATTCATCCATCCACTATCTGTCCCTCTATCTGTCTACCCATCTGTCCATTCATATACAGTTTGCCCATCCATCAATCTGTCCATCCATCCATCATTTTCATTTATCCATCTATTTGTCTATCAATCCATTCAATTACTACATTTTGATGCAGCATGTTTCAGGCATCACACCAGTAGCTGGGGATAAAACAGTCAGAAAGACACATTCCCTTCTCTCCAAATAGAAGAATGATAGACTGAAATAGTGACCACAAATGCATAGACATTAGACAGGGAGACACAGATGGGAAGCAGCTACAGATGGAATAACAGCATTAGAGGGGGGTGTGGGTTTGAGATAATTTTGGAGGTGTTTGTGGGAAACGAATTTGAGAAGGAGCATCCAAGGAACAAAGAAATATGTGAGGTGGCCCAGAGAGTACACAATGACACTTGCCTCACTAGTGACTGGGAGGGGGGGCTTAACTGTCACCACCTCCTTTGCATGGCTGGAGAACATGTAGCTCTTAAAGGGCAAGCTTTCCATGCAAAAGTAGAGATCCAAGCCACGTACCAGGGCTTATCTTGATTGTCAACTTTCTGGGATCTGGAATCCTCTAGGGAACACAGGGCATGTCTGTGAGTGAGTTTCCAAAGAGAACTGAGGCGAGATGACCCACATTGAGAGTGGGCAGCACCTTTCAATGGGAAGATCAGATATAAAAAGGCAGGGAGGGGGTATGTGTGTACCTGTGGCTGCAGCAGCAGCCATCCCCCCTATTCTCCACTGACATCAGTTCAGTCTTTCGTGGACTGAATGAATCTTTTGCACCTTCAGTGCAAGGCTGGGGCTTTTGTGGACAGGTAGCTACAGGGTTCTCAGCTGCTCCAGTCTACAGAGGCCATAGCTAGACTACTCAGCCCCTGCTGTGTTATTCAATCTGATAAATCCCACTCTCCCATTCTCTCTCGCTCCCCCCTTACACACATGCTTGGTCTAGTCCCTCTAGAGAACCCTGCTTAGTCCACCTGGTTACGAGGACACAGTACTTTGGGGTCTGGACAGGCAGGATGGATTCAAACCTGACACCGGTTTTCTGGTGGGGTGGAAGGGCTGTCAGAAAAGCCAAGGGTGGGCAGCATTCTGAAGTCTGGAGTCCCTCCAGGAGCTCTCACTTGGAAGTGGATTCTTCTCTCTCTCCATCACTCTCTTCTCCCCACCTCTCTCAGAAGGGCACATGTACACTTGCTTGTCCAGATGCATTCTCAAGGATGGAGAAAGTCCATTTGCAAATTCTCAGTTGTTTGGGTTCCTATGATTTCACCATCTCTGGCCATAGTCAGTGGCTCCCATCAGGGAGTCACTGGGGTGGCCTTGCTTCCCTGACACATCTTTGCCATTGAGAGACAACAGAAGGGCTCTCTCTCTCTCTCTCTCTCTCTCTCTCTCTCTCTCTCTCTCTCTCTCTCTCTCTCCCTCCTTCCCTCCCTCTCCCTCTCCTTCCCTCCCCTCCACCCCCCAGACAGGTTCTCAAGTAGCCCAGCTGGCCTTAAACTGTTGAAGTAACTAAGGCTGGCCTTGAACCCCTGATCCCCCTGCCTCAGCCTCCCAAATGCTGGGATTCCAGGTAAATGCCACCATACTGTTAGTGGATGTTTTTTTTTTTTTTTCCCAACACCATACTGTTAGTGGATGGTTTTTACCAACATAAAGAGCAGTTGGCCCCAGCTACAGTTCACCCCAAATTGATCAATCAAATGATGGAGAGAGAGATGGGTGCAGGGAGCATGCAAAAGAGCCTGGAGTGCGTTAGTGTGCTGTGTGTGCAAACATGTCATTTCATTGTCAGACTCAATAGACGTAGTCACTGTGGAAGGTTTTGAGGAATTACAACTCTGTTTCTTCTGTTTCAGAAAAGAATGCTGTTGGCTAATGTTGGGCATTGCCTTCCTGCTGAAAAGCAGTTGGGCCGCCTTTACACAATTACATTTATTTATTCACTTATGTATATGTGTGTGTGCGCGCGCGCACGTGTACCATGGTGCACATGTGGAGGTCAGAGGACAACTTGCAGGAGTCAGCTCCCTCTTCCCATGTGGGTCTTGGGGACCAAATTCAGATTGTCAGACTTGGTGGCAAGGGCTCTTACTCACTGAATCATATCACCAGCCCTACTTCACTACAGTTTTTAATTCTTCTCTGTGTATGTGCAGGAGTTTGCATATGAACATATGTGGGTACATGTGCATTTGTGTGCACATGCATGTGGAAACCAGAGGATAACCTCAGGTGTCATTTTCTGTGCACTCTCCACTTAAATTTTTTTATTTTTATTTTATGTTTGTGGGTATTTATATGCATGTATGTGAGTGCCTAGAACTCAAGGAGGCCAGAGGTGGTGTTGGATCCCCTGGAATTGGAGTTACAGATGGTTGTGAACCATATGTGGGCGTTGGAAAGCAAATCTGGGTCCTTTGGAAGAGCAGTGTTCTTAACCACTGAGACATCTCTCCAGTCCCAGTTTTTCCCCCTTCAACAAAGTCTGGAAAAATCACCAAATGAGAGAGAGAGAGAGAGAGAGAGAGAGAGAGAGGGGATGGATGCATGTTTGCATGCTGTGCCCATAGATACCTCAAGAGGACATCAGATCCCCTGGTGCTGGAGTACAGGCAGTTATGTACTACCTGAGCCTGATGTCAGTGCTGAGAATTGAACTTTGTCGTTTGAAAGAGCAGCAAGTGCTCCTAGTTCCTGAGCTATCTTTGCAGCCTGGCACCCACCTTTTGAAGAACCTGTAGGAGGTGATTTTGGTCTAAGTGACTTTTCTCCCTTCAAATTTTATAAAGAAAAAGGTTGGAAACCTTGCAATTTTTTTTTTTGTTGTTGATTTATTTCTCTGAGAGTTTTCTTACAAAGTGAATTGACCTTGCACAATTAGCTTGATATAATCTTAGAAAAGGAAAAATAAAAACATGTGAAGTATACTTTAGGGGGAAATGATACATGCTCTAACCTGCCATTTAATTTGACAACCATTTTCCACAGCTTTTGTCTTGGGGGGGGTACTGGGATTACCTTTCAACACTCACGATCAAATCTACATGCAAGAAATTAAAATACTTGCTGACCTCCTTCAGCAACATCAGCAGGGACTGGGAGACCCAGCATCTAATACTGAGGCACATGGGGTTCTCTTCTAAGGCTGCTGTTGTCCGAGTCTCTTTGTCCACCAATCCTTGCAGCAGCATCCTTAGAAGCTGGGTCTGAGGTTTGAGCTGGGCATATGTGTGAATCTGGGAGTCTCACAAAACAGCCTTTGGGGAACATGCAGGATAGGCCAAGAGGCATCCCATGGAGCAAGAGGGGCTGCTTTCCTGTTCTCATTTGTACTCAAAGTTCTCAGAGAGCACAGGAGGTTACAGCCGGAGGACTTTCTACTCCAAGGGTCCACATGTCTTTGCCCATCAACTCTTGTGTTATCCTCTGCATCCTTAGATACAAGAGCCACTTTCTAGCCTTCAGCTCAATGGTGTGAACATCTGGAGAGGGTTTTTCTTTCACAAGTCACCGGCTGGTACCAAGGAAGGAATTCTGCACAGGTCAAATGGGGGCCAGAGACCTTGATGTAGGAGGAAGATGGCAGGAGGTATGGGTAGCAACCAAGAGACGCAAAAAAGAGTGTCCCAGATGCTGTGCCTAGATTTCCCCAGACCAGCAGGTACAGTGGAGTTCAAGAGAGTGTGGGAAGCTGAAGCCCTGGGGAAGTGGTTACAACTTCCGGGGAATTCAAGGCTCCCATGTGCTGGGTAATTTCATGCTGAAGAGAACATAAGATGTGGAGGCTTCTCTGGCTCGGTCGGGAAGAGCGATGGTGGTGCTGGGTGGAGGGAGTAGGGAAGGGGGTCCAGTCTTTCTTGGGTTTTGGAGCGTCTCACTCGGAAGTTGGAGAAGCTGCAGAGTCCCCATCCTCTGGGTCCTGCTCATGCGGGGACACAGGCTGACCCCCCTTCACACGCTTCCACTTCATTCTCCGGTTCTGGAACCACACTTTGACCTGAGGGAGGAAGAAAGGAGTAGGTGATGCCAGGGCCAGGGTGACCTCCTCACCGCGCTGCGGCTCAAATGGGTCCCAGATTTGGAACCCTCACCCGTTGCTCTCCATCTGCCAAGGATCCAGGGAGTGAGAGGGAAGGGAGAACACACAGATCTGTCCAAGGCCTGCCTGTGTCCCCAGATGTCAGGCAGAGGGGGGACGTCTCTGAAAATCACTCTGTGTTGCCCCTCCTTTTATGTGCCCTGCCCACTCCTTGACAACAGGCCCCCAATCTCCTAGCCTCTGCTCCCCAAAGAACTAAGAACAGAATCACCTTTTAGTTTCCATAGCTCTGATGAACACATTTTTTTTTTTTTAAAGATCTGACTGTCATTATCACGTGACGTTAGGATTATGATCCTATTGCAGAGATAGAAACCCAGAGGTCACAGGGGCCGGGATGTGACAGAGGCAGGATCTGAATTTAAGCCTTCTGATTCAAACCTCAACACCCTTGCAGAGCACGTTAGCAACTGGAGACTGCTATTAAATGCTGTTATTACTGCTATTACGGCACACACAAGCACGTGTGATGCTTCAAGGAAATGCCCAAGCCAAGGGCCAGGGAACTTGTCCTCAGTGTCCCAGGACCCAGGAGCATATGTGGGAACTAATTCAGATGCAGACTCTCAGTTACACTCATTATTACTGCAAAATTGTTGCCTTTTTTTTTTTTTTAATTGGATCTCATGTAGTCCAGACTGGCCTTGAACTCATCATGCAGCTAAGGATGGCCTTGAACGTATGGTCCTCTGACTTCAGCCTCCCCTGTGTGCTGGCATTACAGACATATGATACCATGGTGTGGGGGCTGAACCCAGGGCTGCCTGCATGCTAGGCAAGCACTCTACCAGTGAGCTACATCCCCAGCCCATCTTTTGATTTCTTTGAAGACAGTTCCTTAGGCTGGCCTCAGTACCCTGCATAGCCCAGAGTAGCCTTGAGCTCACAATCCTCCTGCCTCCATCTTCCAAGTGCTGGTGTTTACAGGTAGGCACCACAACACCTGGCTTTCAGAATCTCCATTTAAACAATTGCCTAGGTGAACCAGAGGCAAATGCTGGTTCAAGTTTAGGGAAAATCAGATCCCAGCTGTTCTAATCTTTGTTCACCTGAGAATTACATGGGAGACCTTTGGAAACCTGGGCTTCCTAAGCTCCATCCCAGATCAATTACAGTCACCTCCGTGGGTGGAACTCGGATAATTCCCCCTGGGATGGTCAATTGTCAGGTACAGCTGTGGTTGAGAACCACTGGCTGGGTAGAGGAAAGGAAGGGGGTCCAGGCAGGGGCGATGGGAAGGGAGGTGAGCAGACAACCGTGAAGCTTCGACAAGCCAGGGGCCCCACCTGCCGCTCCGAAAGGTCCAGGTTGACTGCGATCTCGTATCTACGCAGCCTGGTCAGGTAGTTATGGTGGGCAAACTCAGCCTCTAGCTCCCGCAACTGCTCCTTGGTGAAGGCTGTCCTTTCCTTCCGGGCCTTGCTGCTGCCTTCTGGCTTTCCTCCATTCTCCTGGTTGTCTGTGAAGAGAAGGCCCCAAATGGAGGGCACATGAGTGAGCCGAGGGGGGAATCAGCTCCCTTCCATTAGTTCCTAAACATCTGAGCAGCATTCTGTGGCCTCTGTCATTTTTAAAGTGCACCGAGAAGCTGTGGTGTCCCTCATTCCCTCCAGTCCTCTAAGAAATATTTTTAGTCCCAGTCTCAGGTGCACTCAGCAACCCCCAACCCCACCCCACCCCCAGATTTCTCCAAGGCACATGAAGCTGTGCTAGGCTGTTTGATGTCTCTGGTCTCAGTCTGCCTCCAGGAAGGCCTCAGTAGCCTGAGGCTTGCGGGTCCCTGTACTCCAAGACAAATTCTTAAAGTTCCCAGTGATGGAGGTGTGACCCTAGGGCCTTGTCAAGGTATTCTGGGTATTTGGTATTCTGGCCCTGGGGCCCATGCCTGGTCTGGTCAAGGCACTCAGTGGTGAGACAGGGAAGGGGAAAGCTGCAGGCTATGGGACCTGCAGCTGCAGCTTTGATTGAAAACTTATGTGAAATAGAAATCACTGTTGCATCAGAAACTCACAGAAGCAGGATGCGAAGCTCAGTACTTTTCTGTGTGTGTGCACACACATTCATATTTGTGTATGTGCATTTATATGTGTACATGTGTGTGCATGGAGGCCAGAGGTCAATGCTGGCTGTCTTGCTGTGTCACTCTCTACATAAGACTTTTAAAAATTATATTTATTTTGTGTGTGTGTGTGGGGGGAGTCAGAGGACAACTCTCGGGAGTTGGTTCTCTCCATTTATTGGGTGGTTCCAGAGACTGAACCTAGGCTGTGAGGCCCTTCTGTAGATGTCCTTACCTCCTGAGCTGTCTCACTGGCTCTCTACCTTAGTTTTTGAGACAGGGTCTTTCAGTGAATCTGGAACTAGCCCCAAGGGTTCTCCTGCCTCTACCTGTTCAGTCCTCGAATTACAGGAATTCATCACTTTGTCCAGAATTTTTGTTTGTTTATTTTGAGACAGGGTTTTTCTGTATAATAGCTCTGGCTGTCCTGGAACTCCCTCTGCAGACCAGATTGACCTCAAAATCACAGAGATCACCTGTCCCTGCCTCCCAAGTGCTGTGATAAAGAATTTTTCTTTCTGAACATGGGCACTGGGACTTAAACTAAAATCCTTGGGCTTGTGCAACAAGCTCTTTATCAGCTGAAGCATCGCCCACCTCAGCCCCACAGCGACCTGTTTTGACAAGCCTGCTTGATCATTCTAGTGCAGGGTCCAGGTTATATACCACCGCTCTAAGACCAGATTGCTGGAATATTCCCTGGGGTTTGGGGTTTCCAGGACAGGGAAGCTGGTCACACACAGAAAGAAGGCTGAGTCTGGAGAACCTTCTGAAACTCTTGGGCTTCGTTAGACACAGGGGTTCACTCCTAACACATGGCAGGGCCAGGAAACAGTATCTGTACCTGCATTTGCTTCTTCCTGTCCACACTAACCCAACTGAGTGGTTTCAGTATTGATCATATTTTACAGACCAAACACAAGAATGAATTCGCCTAACCGCTAAATGGGGGAGGACCCAGACGATTTGATTCATACGCTGTCCCAGTATGAGATAGCTTTGCTCACAGATCACAAACTGTGAAGTCTGGTGCAGATGGATTGACTGCATCTAGGAGGAAAAGGCCTCAGGCAGGGGATGAACACACTTGTACAATTAACTAACAACTAATAAAGTTTGATAGTCAACTGCCACAGGAACCTTTCCTGCCTGTGGAGAGGAACATAACATATCGGGCTTTCTCTTCCATGTCTCTTTTTAGTCTTGGAGACCTTGGGTCAGGACATAGGTTTTCTGTGAGCTGTGTCCTATCTAATTCTATTGGCACACTCCTAGCTGAGGTCCTTGGTGCTCAGAGACTTTGAGCACCTGCAGGGAAGGATGCCAGCCGGATGAGTCAGGCAAGGGAAAGCACCACACCCTCAGCTTCAAAGCCAACTTGTGGAGATGACTGGAGATCCCACTTGAACCCCGAGATCCCATTTGTAACTCTGGTCCTGGCTGCTTCCCCTCTCAGGCAACCTGCTTGTACTTTGGCATATTTTAGCTGTCATCTCCTCATCCAGCTGTCTGGGTTGGGGAGAAACGCTCAGGAGGGTGGCTGGAAGTTACAGGAGTGGAGTGGGGGAGGGATCCCAACTCCCAAAGGGGTCCGCAGTGGACTCCTCCCACACCCCCGCAGGCTAGGGGAGGGGGAAGAGTCAGGCACGGGCTTTCTGCCCAGTGGTCTCTGGTTCCTGGCCAGAGAAGGTGGGTCCAGACCCCGCCCGGATGCCTGAGCGTGGGCTGGACAGGAAGGACGTGCAGTCCTGGGGCATGTCCCCTAGGAGTCCTCTGGCCTTGGTGACTGCCAGCGCCACTAACCCTCCTGGCGGCGGGCCCGGAGGGTCGGTCATGCAGCGGATGCTAAGGCCTCCCCGAGCACACCTCAGCCGGCTGAGGCCAGGAAGCTGGGGAACCTCTGAGATTCAGGGTGTCCACGAAGTCCTATCCCCGGGGAGCAAGCACAGAGTTAGTTTCCCATTCCTCTTTGTCACAGTTGCAGGGAGTGATGGGCCAGGGGAGTTTGACTGGGGATTCAATCTCAACTCTTCTCTCTTCCAAGAAATTGGAGAAAATAAAGCACCTACTTGCAAAGCTATTTTTTTTTAAAGACAGAATTTCATATTTAGGCTGGCCTCAAGCTTGAAAGGTAGTGGAAGATGACCTTGAACCATTCACCTTCCTGCCTCCACTTCTCAAGTGCTGGGTCTATAGTCAATGCACCACTGGGCCTGGTTCGCCAAGGCTAATCTCAAAAGACAACACAGGAATCCTGGTCTCCATGTCTTCGGGGAGACCTGAGTAAACTAATGTGTGTGGGGATGCTCTTAAAACCTAAGTTACAGGGCAAATATCAAGATATTAATTGTTCCAATGTTCCAATTCCAAGAGATGCCATTGAAAAATCTGGGGTGGGATTAATGAGAGCTGGCTTTTTTTTTTTTTTTTTTTTTTTTTTTTTTCTCTCATCTGTTTGTTTTTTTCAGACAGGGTCAATTCATGCTGCCCAGATTTGTCTTAAAACGGCGATTCTCTTGCTTCAGCCCGCTGGGTGGCGGGATCACAGGTGCCACCATGTGTGGCTGACAGCTGGCATGCTCTTGCAATCAGGTGGACCCACTTCCTCAAACCCCACTCCAGTGGCTGCTCTCATCAGCCCCTGTTCCTTGGCGTGGTTGTGTGGGTTAGACCGGATTCTCTGCCAATGCTCTCTCTCTCAGCTTGTGACCACTTTTCAGCCCCCGGCATACAGGAGGTGTTTGTTAACTATTCCTGGGTACGGGGAGGAAGCATAGAATAGGCCTGGGAGTTTACCTGGCAGTGGTTAAGTGAGAGAAGAGAGATTGGAACCCAGATTCCCCCTGACTAAAGCCAAGGTTCTCAACCCTGACCTCAGAGTCTCCATCTTCGGGCCAGATGTCCCCAGGCAGGGGACTCAGCCTGTCTCCATTTCTATGGTTCCTTGGGTCACGAGTGTGGGGTTTCCATCCACATCCACCTTCTCCCAGGCCTGTCTCTGAGCACAGCTCCCTACCATACCTCATGGAACAATGCCCTATGCGCCTAAGTCCTGAACACAATCCTCCCAGAAAGAAGAACATGGAGAAAGGGAGGGGACCCCCTCTGCTGCAGGTCGTGGACAGATTGCCATGGAGACAGCCCCCCCCCCCCGCATCTCACTGTTCAGCATTCCTTCTCTTGCATCCCTCATCAATTTCCCAGAGTAGGACAAAATCTTTTCATTATCACAAATAACAAGATAGCCAGAAGTAGGAAAAGAGCTAGGAAACAGAGGTGGGAATTTGTGTTGTAACAGTATGAAAAAGCCTGCAACATTTTATCAAGATAAGGTGTGTGAGGATTTCCCTGACTCTTCCAGCCTGAGGTGTACAGTTCTCAGGCTCAGATTCACACACAGTTCATGTGCACAGTACTGCATTCAAGGAACTTACGCACCCTGACCATCCAGTACAGCATTCATTTTTTCAATGCTGTATAAGTGGGTGTTTTGCCTGCATGTACGTTTGTGCACTCGTGTGCCTGATGCCCACAGAGGCTGGAAGAGGACATGCGGTTCCCTGGAACTGGAGTTACAGACGGGTGCAAGCCTCCATGCAGATGCTAGGTCCTCTTCTCGTAGCCCCTAATCTATCTCTAGCACCTATGCAATGCATCTCTGTTGAGAGCCTCTTGCCCTTCGTTTTCTGGATCCGTCTTCCCGTGTATAAAATAATAGGATTAGATGGGATCCTCATCCCCACGAAGAACTGATGTCAGAGTTCTCACCCAAGCCCTGCTCTGCTTCCCCTAATTCTTTTGCTTTCCCTCACTGGCCTGGAGGAACAGGAGGCCCTTCCAGCCTCAGACACTGTTTAACCAGTTCCCTTTGCTCTCTTGAGTCACAGCTGGTGTTTTGCTTATTGTTTTGTCCCAAAGCCCCCTCTTATCTTTCCATGGCCCTCAGCCCAAAGATCAGAATACCTCAGAGAGTTTCTCTTCTGCATGCAGAGCTTCTGACCCTGACCCAGGGGAGGGAGCAGAAGGGAATTGGGTTGGCAGAGGTATCTGAAAACCCTCTGGAGAGCCTGGGTCTTGGCACCTTCATGAACCAGCTTCAGGGAGGATCTTGACCTCAGATGTGTCTCCCTGTGGTTCTCCAAGTCTCAGTTTCCTCATTTGCAAAACAAGAATAGCTACACCCATCATGAGCATAAAGCTGCTCAGAAAGCAAAATGAGACTGAGGATATGCTCACTGGTTAGATGGTGCTGGGCACACAGTTGAACCTGTCTGAAAGAACGGGCAGAAGATATCCTGTTGGACCCAGAGAAGATGATCAGAGGGTACCGCATCCCCAGATCTGTGTACAAAAGATGCATGCATGCCTACCTACCTACCTGCCTGCCTTCCCTCTGTTCC